CATTCATATTAAGGAAGACCTACCAAATTCTTGGAGCGTCTCCCCACCCCCATCAGAAATTATAGCCCACCAGAGCATGCTTACTCGGGAGACCATGGGTGGGGGTGCTTTCATACCCTTTGCGCACACACCCCTGCATACAGGCCTGCACTATAATCTTGTTAAGTCCTTCTGGAACAGGCACACTTTTATGAATGTCTTCTTAAAATTCTGTGGCCCTTTTTCATTTGTACAGCATGAGCAAATTAAACACAGAAAAACACAGCTCTTAGCATAGCAGCCACTTGCATGGAGCACTGTCTAGTTCTGTTAACACAAGGCAAAACACCTTCTAAAGAGTCCTCAAAATGGTGTATTTCATTCACATAAAATCATTCACCTTTAAATCTACCAGCCTAGTGTACTTTAAAGATATGCACTTCCAACACACCGGTCATCTGAAGAAGTGGGTTGTGCCCACGAAAACTCATGACACCATCTACATAGTTTGTTAGTCTTTAAGGCACTACTAAACTATTTGTTGGGTTTTTTAAGTTTAACCAAAAGGGGGGTTAAGCTCACTCCAGACTTCAGCAAGGTGGGGTTTAACTTCCCACTAAATCTAATCATTTTGCTTGCCTCCCCCTTGCAGCGAGTCCATCTGGGGACAGGGACACACCAATCACAACCCGGCGAGAGGACATGGTGCAGGCTGGGAGGTTACTTTTACAGTATCATTGAAGAACCGCAACAGAACAGGACCCAATAAAGCGCAAACTGAACAAAAAAAGTTTCCCCCAACCAAGAGTTAAAATAAACAGTCGCTTGTTGGAGCCAGTTCCCAAAAGGAAACAAACAAAGGTTTGACCCTGAGCTTTGTCCCAGTCTCAGAATTCACAGGACATCCGCTTTCCCTCAGCCAGTCAACTCCCATCTTCTCCATCTCCCACTCCCTCCACTGCCTGCCTGTCTTTGCACCAAGGACAGACAGCTGGGTCCCTTTTCAGGTTAAAGGGCTTAACTGTTTCCTACCAGCCTAGAGACAGAGTTTCTTTGTCCTGTCACAGGTCCCAGAATACATTCCATTTGCACTGGCTGACTTTTCAATGACAAGAGACAATATACACTGTATATATTAATATATCATTCACACCTGGTCCCTGAGAGGAAATTAAGTCTAGGCACACTGCCCTGGCTCCTTTGAATTATTAGACTGCATAGCTCTATCAAATCAAAGAAACAATGAGGGTTCCTTGAATAACTCATTAACCTTTTCCATCTTTCCAAACATTGACCCTCCGGATAGAAACAAAAAAAATCCTTCCCGAGCAAATAAATAGTCAGTGTTGGAGTCTTTGTGAAAGAAAAATAATGGAGCGGTTTGTGGTTCTTTGTTCTAGCATGGGGAACAGGCAAAGATGTCTCAAAAATGTTCTCCACCCTATAAATGACATTGCTTATTAAATGACTCATTAATTAAATGTCTCATACTGAACTTTCCAAGGTGTAATACAGATATCTAGAAACAGTGAATTTTTGTTTAGGAAAGAAAACCTGATTTTTTTTTTACTTACTTTGATGAGATCCTTTTTTCTGCTCCTCAGTTTCTTCAAGTTCATATGCCATCTTTAGTGCTGGGGGGTTGATTTGGTCACAGGATCTCTTGCATTTCAGAGATGAAAAAACCAGCCTTAATTCTTATGGGCCAGATCACATGAGGCTAGAATGCAGCCAGGAAAGGAAGGAAAGAGACCGCTCTTTCACTGTCCTGAGCGGCCTACCTGGATCTTGAGTTCAGGTGTGCATGGGAAGAAAGCAGGGTCTATGGCACATGGCTATTTCACAGCTTATGCAAATCCCAATCACAGTTAATTGTTTAATAGTGTAACAGCTAAACAAGGGTACGAGCACATTTTAACCCCTTCAGCCCAACACATGTAAACACAAGAACGCATCCAACCGATACAAACTCCTGACAACAAGAAAAAGCCCAGTAAAGGAATTCTTCCTCCTCAGCACACATACGCCACCTTCATTTGTCCAAAATAATAACAGATCCTACCACTCCGCTTCTACAAAGTCGTATGCAGTGCTCTGCGTGACTTCCGCTCTGTGAGGGAGTATTGGCCCGCACTGCCTTCCCAAGGGTTAAATCCAGCCCTGGGAGAGGCCTGGGGCTGTGTAGCTCACAGCAATGACTAATAGCAGCCAATTAGGGTCCACCTGGAGCTTTAAAAAATAAGGGCTTCTGGCATGGAGAGGAAAACACTCTTGCTGTAGCTGGGGAGCAGGAAGGACCTGAGGAGCAGGGAGGGTGGGGCGGTGTCCCATCCCGTCCCGTCATGGTACCACTCCTAGGCCGCAGGTCCTGAGACAAGGCCTGAGGCAACTAGCACTGCAGGGAGGCAATAGGTCCATACCCCCTAGCCAATGATGAGTGGCCATTTCAGATGCAGTTTGCCCCCGAGGCTGGAGCTAGCTGACAAATGGCAGTGGCTTGTGAGTGGGTACAGAGGTTTGGGGTTCCCTGGTAGGGGGGGACCCCAGAGTGTGGGGCATGAAGGGACATGGGGCCTGATCCAGTGCAGGAGACCTGCTGGCTGGTGTTTTGCCCTCCGTTACCAAAGGTGCTCCAAGGCCGAAGAGCTAATGCCCTGAAAGACCAGCAAGAGGCGCTGCCGTGGTGAGTCACAACCTGTTACGCTCTCCAAAGGAATGACTGGCCTTTGTGAAGCAATCACTGGACTGGGAGCCCCAACGCCTATGTGCTATTCCTGGCTCTGCTGTACCCCACTGGGTGAAAGCACTTCACTGCTCTGTGCCTCAGTTTCCCAGTCAGTAAAGTGGGGGTGATGACCCTGGCAAAGACCTTTTACATCTGCACTTGAAAGGGAATCCTCTGAACTGTCATTCATGTTAAAATTCGACACTCTCCAAGAAGGAATGAACAAATACTCAAACTATCTTACCCATTACCAAGATAGCTTCCCCAATTATCACCTCTAATACCATTAACTCACAGACATCCCACTCTCCCCACCTCTAATATCATCAATTCACAGACACTTATCTTCCTTCCTTTCCCCCCCCCCCCATCCCCCTCCTGTTCTGAAATGTGATTTGTCCTTTTCATATGTGTTCATTTTTGTAATTGTATCCTTTGGTATATATGATTGTGACTATTTTCTTCCACTATTTGATCTGAGGAAGTGGGTCTGACCCACGAAAGCTCATCATCTAATAAACCATCTTGTTAGTCTTTAAAGTGCTACATTGTCCTGCATTTTGCTTCAAAATGCCATTGTGAGTTCCCATGTACCTCTCTCTGGCATTTCCAGCTCAATTCTTGCTGGTTTTGTTTAGTTTTTAATGGGTTTTTTTCTAACTTCTACTCCAGCAGAAATCAACCTTTGCTGCAAACATCAGCCCCTGTACTCTTTCTGCTTTTCTGGTACAATAAAGGTTGATGCACAGAATTCTGACTGGCCATCAACAAATGGCCTGCCCTTTTAATATGTTAGCCAGTTAAACGATATGTTTTAACTAGTTAACCAATTAAATGGGATTTTACATCCCTAATTCTTAAACTATTTTTTCATCCAGGAAATTTGAAACCCTTCTATCATCAGGCCACATTTGCTGAAAGCCTGCTGCTTCCACTGATCAATAACTCTGGGTGCTTCTGCCCCACCGTTAGCCGCAAGAACTAATGTGAATTGCAGGACACATTGATCGTCAATGCTGTGGATGTACTTGCAGCTCCGGGTTCCTCCTGGGGCTACGCCTGTCTGCATGTTGCTTTGCTTTTGCTAAGCCCATGTCTTCACTGCGGGAAAGATTGATGCTGCCGTGATCCATTTTCTGGAGTCAATTTAGTGGGTCTAGGTAAGAATAGGGGTGTTAAGAGGCAGGTAATTGACACAATTGTATCGACTATACAATGAATCGATTACATGATCAGTCAATAAGGGAAGGTGCTCTGTCCTGCCTTGCTCCCAACCAGGAGCTACCCGGCTGTGGCTCTGCTGTTTAAATGTAGTAAAAGCTGGGCACACCGGTGGGAGGGGGGGAGGTCCTGGCCTGGCCTGAGCTGGGACAGAGCTGGGACAGCTGTGCCTCTGCATGTTAAATGTATTAAGAGCTGCCTAGCTTTCCCTCAAGACCTGCCCAGCTCTTACTACATTTAAAATGCAGAGGCACAGCGGTCCCAGAGCGGCGCAAGCCAGATATGCTTGGTATTGGCTCACACCAGGTCCAGCCGCCCCTGTTTGTGGCAGCCTGGACTGGCTGTGGGCAGGGGCTGCTTCACAGCAGCCTCCCCTATCCCTGCCCCCCTCCCCCCCAATAGGAGCAGCACGGGGGAGGGGAGAGACACAGGGCAGGTAGCACCATGGAGATGATGCTGGTGGGGAACCAGCTTTTAAGCCAGCTCCTGTCTCCCCCCCCCCGGCCTTTTCTGCCTCTGATACAGAGGCGGGGGGGGGGGGGAGAGCACGGAAAGTGAGTAGTCGAGTACTTGACTTGACATCCCTAGTTAAGACCCACTAAATCGAATTCAGAGGGCACCCCCTTCTGCAGCCAGTACTCCTGCTCCTGTGAGGAGTCAGGGAAGCTGACAGGAGTGTTTGCTCCTGTTGGCCTCCCACTGTGGAAATGGTGGGAAAACTTGAATCCAGGCACGTTGATTCAAGTTATGTAATTAACGTAGATGAAGTTGCATATCCTGATTCGACCTTCCCACTTTAGTGTTGACCTGGCCTGGGACACCTTTGCATACTTCAGAACTTCATCCTGCACCTTTCGCATCCCTTACTCCTTTCTTTCTCAGCAAGAGACAAGATTTTTTTTTCCTCTGAGTAATCTCGTCCCCATCTTGATGCCGTCTGTATCAAGCTAACATCTGGGTTTTTCTTGAAGGAAGGAAACACAATATGCATTAGGCTGTCTGAGAAGGAAAGACACAAGATCCATCATATCTTCAGAGAGGGTGATCCTATGCTGAATATGGAATACCAGGTAAAATGACTCCTATTCAGGTGAGTTCCATGACCTGGTAGCTAGACCAGAGGAGTGCAGCGCATCACTGTAAAGAGACAGTCGAGTCAAAGAGGTTGCCAGGCCAAGTGGTCTGACAGGACTGGACAGCAGCACGGGTTGGGGCACAGCATTGAGGAAAGAAATGCTCTTTCGGATGTGTAATCCTACCTGAAGGATACATCTAGGAGCAGCCCCTCCACATCACATATCTTAATTTGGATACAGACAGGAGAAGAAGCTCAAAGTGTCATTGGGTACCACATGGCATAGACAACCCATAAACCAGACATTTGCTGTCACAGAATTTTGGCTGTATTGATTTGTGTTTTCCCACATGCGCTAGCAAAGTCAACATACTTGCTCCAGGGGATAGAATGCTTTTCCATAATCCTCTATTTGACATTGCAGTGAGCATAGCCATGTTCTCCTTGCTTGAGCTCGTTTAGGATACATCTACAGAGCAGCGTTATTACGGCATAACTAATGTTATTCCAAAATAACATAGTGCTTGTCTATACCACAAGCCTTTATTTCAAAATAATGTCGAACTGGAGGACTTCTTACTCCGACTCCTGGTATCCCTCATTTTATGAGGTACAAGGGAAGTCGAAGGAAGAGTGTGTAGACAGCGCCAAAAGCCGAGCGAAGCTACTTCGACTTCAGCTACGCAAGTGACGTAGCTCAAGTTGTGTAGCTTAATTTGACTTTTGCCCTGCTGTGTAGACAAACCCTTAGAAACCTGGAGCAGACTTATTTAACATCAAATGTGCATGCTGTAAGAGGGTTCATTTTTCAGGGCCTTGAACAGTGCCTCTACCTACAAAGTGGCTGAAGAACAGTAACTTAATATTTTCTTCGAAATAAAACAACTGTGTACAGAGAATGCTTTGGCTTGAGTATACACATGAGCATCTGCAGTCTCCGTGTCTAGAAACCACTCCCATAGGACACTCCCCAAATAATCTCTTGCAGCAACAGTATTCTGATATTCAGTGACAGGGAAAGTGAATTTGATTTCAGCTTCTCTTGAAAGCTGTTTCTCACTTCACCTTCCTTTGTAAGATAGCATAGAACCCCTTTTTTGTTTTAGCTTTGCCTTAAATCAAATTCACATTGATGAACACATGAAATATCATTCTCAGAGAAGCAGGCACCAAAATGAACACTGACTCTTTTCTTCTGGAACAGTGACCCTGTAAGGAATCAGAAGAGATAACAAGAATACAAACAGGTGGAGGGGGAGGCAAGGAAAAACAGACGTGCAGCCAAACAAATCTAAAACAAAGCCCAAATCCCCCTGATACTGCTCTCACAAGAGGGCAGAAACAGATTAGCCTCTTTTATATTCTATAGGTAACACTCCTAATGAGAACTGGTGATGTTTTGTTGCATTTGACCCGGAGACCTGCTGTTTATAAACGCAGCAACTTAAATAAAGCTCTAGATATCTAGAGGTTTCACAAGAAACGTCTGAAACTAGCCAAATAAAACGAGAAGAAAGATTCAGCTTAATAGACTATACGGCAGTGGTTCCCAACCTTTTCCAGATGGGAACCCATTTTGACAATTCAGGAAGACTTGGTGACCCAAAGCAATTCAAAAACGGGGGGAGAGCCACCTGGGGAGACGCTTGGTAACCCTTTTAAAATGTAATGGCGACCTATATTTGGGTCCCGTCCCATAGGTTGGGAAACCTTGCTATATGGGAAGGACTAGCCCTATGCTGAACACTAAGTTTTGGAGGTGGGGAAGAATGGATGAGCTAGTGTGTCCCCACTGGAATGGAAACAAAATGTGTGAAGGAGAAAATAGAGGAGAGGGGCTCACAGAGAGGAGAGAAATCAGACTCCCAGGTGATGTTCATCCTACAAAATCACGTCTTGGCACAGCTTCTTGGAGGGGTTGCAGAATAAACTGGCCGAAGGAGCTCTGCGGGCATAGTAACACTGCTATGCTATGCAGTGTCATCCCGTCCAGGGGACACATCCAGGCAGCTGCCCTAGGCCCCACAGTTTTGGGGGCTCTGCGGTGACAGCCCCAACCAGTCTCAGGATGTGAGGGACCGGAGGATTAGTGGGCCTGGCACAGCAAGGGCAACAAAGGTCCTACTGACCGAGCTGGTCCATTGTCGGGGTACAGTGGTTCAGTCAAGTCTACTGACAACTATTAGTGTACTTCGTTTGACAATAAACCTGGCCAGGTGCCTTCAAAACCTCATCTAATTTTCCAGTCCCTTTGGAGGCTCTCTCGGACTCTGTTGTGTTGACTACTTGCACAAATCAGCACAACACAGAAGAGGAGCACACACGCAGGCAGGTTAGCATCATTGACAGAGCAGGAGCCCTGTCAGGACAACACAGAAGTGAATTCTGACAACTACAGCTACTATGACCAGGGGTTTTATTCCCAGCCTGCCTAAAGGGCCAACGCCTGCACTTCACTTCCTCTCTGAGGACAACAGACTATGGATTGCCAGCTGTTAGGAGTGACCATGCAGCTCTTTCTAAGCAAGCAACTTTATTCTCAAAGTAACAACATGGCAGAGAACAGGTACAGACACAAAAGTTCCTCTTTGTAACCCACGAACCTGGTGGGTGTGGGTCACTGAGACCACTTACAGAGAGAATAAGGAATCTATAGAGAGAATAAGGCTGCTTTACAGCCTTAGCTGAGTGCTAGCTAATGTTTAGCTACTGCGGTAGAAGTTCATGCTTTAAGCTCTTGAGCTTCTAGGTTCGATTCTACCTGCAGATGACCAGGGTCTGTCAGCATTAGAGATACTCATGCTAAGAGCCTAATGGAGATCGCCCTTATGGGGCCTGAATAGGCCAAAGTCTTTGCAACCCTTAGACAAAAGGTCCTGTCCATTAGCACTAGAAAGAAGGCCCTGAGTTAATTTAAACCCAGCTTTTTATATCAAAAGCCCTTTCTTTGTCTTCTGGGAAAAAACAGTTTAAGGCAAGCAAATGCAAGCTCCCAGGGGGTGGTATCTCACTGAAGGTTTTATAACCGAATGGTTCCCCTTCATTACCCTTACTAGCAGAGCTGTGGCAACCCTGCATGACTGGAGTT